TGAAAAGCATACATTTAATTAAAGTGTGGCCTGTGCTATCTATATTCATACCTAATGAGGGACAGGCCTGTGGGCTTAGCAGAGAAGGAAGGCCTAAAAGTATTAATAAAAAGCTAAGTATGCAGATAAAGCAAGTTCTAGATACTTTATTTCCGAAATCAGCGATAGCATAAACAATATTTTGCATATTTTTGTCTTTGCATTTAAAGTTTCCAAAACTAGTGGGAAATACTAAAAGTGTAATTATTTCATGTATGGCTTTCCTGGGTAGTAGTTAACTGAAAGAAAAACACTGCTATAGTTAGAATTCTTAAGGAAAGTATTAATCTGTTAGATCTCAATACCTATTTCCAAACTGAGAACAAATTAAGAATTATTAGCGGTTAGGTAAAACATGATTTGCAACTCTGTGACATTTTAATCTTTTGCCAAGATGCAAAATGATGTGTGTTCCCAAATCACATCCTAAATATGTTCCTTGGTAACTCATAAAACCTACTAAACGGTTCCAATGTATAAATTAATGCCTTATTTTCAGATAAGATATAGCCTTTGTAAAGTTATTTTCTGATTATTCTAAGCTAAAAAAAGAACATATTCTTTTTATTCTAATGGAAATTTTGAACTAATTTAAGCATATCATAATAATTAAAATGCTATTAAACAACAGTTTACATTAGTTTTATCAAAATTTGTTTTTATGGCATGAATATCAGATTTCAACTGATCAAGATACTCATTCTGCTCATATAAGACACATATGGTTTTTTGGACTTTGTTTTAAAATTAAAAATTCAGAACAAATTAGTTATTTGCATTTCTAATTATCTAATATTTGGTATCAGCAAAACCACAAAACCAAAAGGCAAATGAACCTCTTTTTTAGAACCCATAAATCTCAAACATGAAACCAGAAATATTTTAGAAAGAAACGTCTGGAATTATCTATCCATCAATTCTGCTTTGCCTAGTGATGAGCTTTGCTGTTTTGAAAGTCTTATTAGATGAAATTTCAATTACACTAATAGATTCTCATTTCCAACTATCTTGATTATAAACTCAAGATGCATTTTTTTCTGCTATAGATAGATCTTATTTCCTTTTATTTCTCGTGAGCATAAACAGATCCCACTGTTACATTTTGAAGACCACAGATAAATCAACATGTCCTTTCCTGCTAATTTTTTGTACACTCTCGCAGTTTTTAAACTCTACAGAAATGATGTTCACATAACAATAAAGCTAGAGACAAAGTTATTTATATATTATTTCTTGTCACACAAAGGACTCCATCTCAGTGTATTTCATGTAGATGATACTCAGAGTTTGATATATGATCAGTTTACCTGTTAATCAATGTCAGATAGATAGATGACAATCAACTTAAGGTGTCTAGGGTTCAGTGATAAGGTAAAAAGAAATAGAGTTAATCTTAATATCAACAGTGGCAATACATATGGGTTTCCTTGGAAAAAGAATTGGGGGTGGGGCGCCTGGGTGGCTCAGTCGGTTGAGCGTCCAACTTCAGCTCAGGTCATGATCTCTGGTTCGTGAGTTCGAGCCCCATATCGGGCTCTGTGCAGACAGCTCAGAGCCTGGAGCCTGCTTCACATTCTGTGTCTCCCTCTCTCTCTCCCCTCCCCTGCTCGCTCTCTCTCTCTCTCTCTCTCTCTCAAAATAAATAAACATTAAAAAAAGAAAAGAAAAAAAAGAATTGGTACATTAGGAACTTTCGATGTCTTGGGAGCATAACTCATGGACTACATAACACATTCACATCAAAGATACATAAATAGGCGCCTGTTCTGCTGAACAAGGAGCCCTAATTTTCAAACAGCTTTTCCCCTGCAGGCATGGGTGCCCACTTCACTTCCTGACTGCGTGTGGCGGAAGGAGCTTGGGATGCAGACCCCAGCATGCATTAGTACCCTCTTCATATGGGAGCTTCTCAGGGCCCAGGATGAATCTCAACAAGACACTGCCCAACACGGACACAGCAGTAACCACTGGGGGGCGAGTGGGGAAAAAAGGCCAGCAATATTATTTGATGGCATCACATAATACATAATTTTTCTTACTTGCCAGATCTGTGCTAAGAGTTTCATACACATTATTCCCATTCGATCTTTATAAAAGGGGTTGTTAGCTTTCTTTTAAGATGAGTAACAGAACAGGTAAGTCCATTTGCCTGAAATTACAGTGGAAGGATTTGCATACGATTGTTTGTGAGTATGAAAGCCATCTATTCTGGACCCTGCCACCTTGCCACCATGTCACAGGCCAAGGAACATTTGGCACTTGTGCTAAATCTTTCTTCACGTGGAAACTTCGGAAGGGTCTCTTCTTCCACAAACTTCTCGCAAGACGAATGCCTTGCATGGTGTGGGGGCAGCCGAGAAGTGAATTACTGTATGCCCAGACTAGCGACATGAGACACAGATAGACAAATGCTTTGGTGATCCGATTCTAGGCATTTGGCTAATGAACTCCCTGTAAGTCCTTCTGGGTGCCCGCAGTGGACACCATGGGATTCTCCTTCCGCACAGATCAACACACACGGAGTCAACAGGACTCCAACACAGAAATCACATCTGTATTGTCGAAGGCATCCCAAGAGCAAAGCTAATGAGGGACCAGACACAAAATTTCTAGCCATGTCAATGAGTGATGCAGACGAATGGAAGGAAAGTTCTGTGCACCTACACCATATTGCCACACCTACTCAGTCTGTTTCTGAGTTTGGAACTCTGTGTGAATCACCGACTTGGAATCAGGAAAGTGGCATCAGCGTGCTATTTTAAAACCATCTACGGCCTCTGAGCTCGGTGCGCCTTTTTCTGCCCATTTGAGTGCATTCTTAAACATTTAATTAGTATCTCAGCTCCGCGGAGGTATAAGTCGGTGTATTTGCTTAGGTAATTAACAATGAAGACAAAAGCATCTAATCACCGTTGGAAAGTGAAAGATTGGAACTTAAGAATATTAGTGCCTGTTTTTCAAAGCTGATAAGGTTAAGCCTCTCAAAGAAGAACGGAAGTGTATTGCGAAGAGCCACATATAATTTGCAATATAATCCTACCTTCCTTTTCTTTGAAACACAATGAACAGCGTTAGGAAGTGGCATTATTAGCACATTCTAATCTTTCACGCAGCACTCATCGGCTTAATCAAAGCTGCAGGACAGCTTGTCTAAGCATGCCGCCTGCCTTGGAAGGGCAAATTGCCAACACGGCCCCGCCTAACAGCATGTGGTTTGAAAAGAGAAGGCGCTTGTTTCCGGCTCCCTGTGTCGTGAGTTTAAAATCAGTTTGTATTTTCGCGCAAAGACTGAAGTTAACATATTATTTGCTTACGTGGCCGTATGTAACATTCGCATGTGAACCTGAAGAACGGAGTGCTCTCGGGTGTGCTCTCATTTGCCTAAAACCTGTCCTGAAACCCTGCTTTTTCTGTACGTATTTGTACTAAAGTCGAGACTGGAAATATCTTAAAGGACATTCACCACAGAGGGGCAATAGAGTGGCCTGGGTAAGATTTTGGAGAAGACAAAAAGGGATGATGATGACAAACCCTGCTTAGCTATCCCAAGTACGCACAATGGAGAACCCCCCCACCCCCACCCCCACCCCTGCCTTCGCTGCTCTTGGAACCGTGGCTTCTCGCCAAGAACAGCAAAGGTTGCCTCCTTGAGGTTTGAAACACACAAACGTATCAGAATAGTTTTCTCCAAATACTTTTAACAGAGGAGTAATGCATTCAAACACAACCCTTGCGCATAAACGTTTAAACATAATTTCTCCTCCTTCCCTTCCCTTGTGAGATGCTAAAGACATTCATTGAAGGCTCTAGGAATGCTATTTAGTCAGGTGCGACAAATATTTCCCAAGTGCCTACCACTGTCCTCTTCCTTTATGTCTCCTCACCATCCCAACAGAAGCCCTTCAACCTTCCAGCTTCTCCCAAAGGGTGGGTACAAGCCACCTAGGGTGGAACCATTTGGGCCAAGTGTTAAAATCCGCCCACCTAAAATTCCTAGGCCCACCTAAACTGAATGAGAGTATCTGAGGCCTGGGCTTCAGATCTGCACATTTACCAACATCCAAAAAAATAGATACATAAGTAACTAACCACAAAACACAACAACACATACACACACA